TGTTCTGTGGATGCTTTTATCTGCAATTTCCATAAAATTGAGCGATAATTCTTCAGAAAATGCAAAAAATTCCTAAGTCTGAAATTCTTTTTGACTATAAGGTCCACAGATTCGGAAAGTACTCCTCGAGACCTTTCATTTGTGCCCAGCCTCGACACCGCTTCATTTTTAGTTTCTGTTCTGTGGATGCTTTTATCTGCAATTTCCATAAAATTGAGCGATAATTCTTCAGAAAATGCAAAAAATTCCTAAGTCTGAAATTCTTTTTGACTATAAGGTCCACAGATTCGGAAAGTACTCCTCGAGACCTTTCATTTGTGCCCAGCCTCGACACCGCTTCATTTTTAGTTTCTGTTCTGTGGATGCTTTTATCTGCAATTTCCATAAAATTGAGCGATAATTCTTCAGAAAATGCAAAAAATTCCTAAGTCTGAAATTCTTTTCGACTATAAGGTCCACAGATTCGGAAAGTACTCCTCGAGACCTTTCATTTGTGCCCAGCCTCGACACCGCTTCATTTTTAGTTTCTGTTCTGTGGATGCTTTTATCTGCAATTTCCATAAAATTGAGCGATAATTCTTCAGAAAATGCAAAAAATTCCTAAGTCTGAAATTCTTTTTGACTATAAGGTCCACAGATTCGGAAAGTACTCCTCGAGACCTTTCATTTGTGCCCAGCCTCGACACCGCTTCATTTTTAGTTTCTGTTCTGTGGATGCTTTTATCTGCAATTTCCATAAAATTGAGCGATAATTCTTCAGAAAATGCAAAAAATTCCTAAGTCTGAAATTCTTTTCGACTATAAGGTCCACAGATTCGGAAAGTACTCCTCGAGACCTTTCATTTGTGCCCAGCCTCGACACCGCTTCATTTTTAGTTTCTGTTCTGTGGATGCTTTTATCTGCAATTTCCATAAAATTGAGCGATAATTCTTCAGAAAATGCAAAAAATTCCTAAGTCTAAAATTCTTTTTGACTATAAGGTCCACAGATTCGGAAAGTACTCCTCGAGACCTTTCATTTGTGCCCAGCCTCGACACCGCTTCATTTTTAGTTTCTGTTCTGTGGATGCTTTTATCTGCAAGTTCCATAAAATTGAGCGATAATTCTTCAGAAAATGCAAAAAAATCCTAAGTCTGAAATTATTTTTGACTATAAGGTCCACAGATTCGGAAAGTACTCCTTGAGATCTTTCATTTGTGCCCAGCCACGACACCGCTTCATTTTTAAATATTTTATTCTCGGTTTAAATGTAGAGTTAAGGGTTTCAAAGTTTTTCAACGTAAATTTTAATTAGGTTTTTATTTAGCGATTTCATTTTAAATTTGAAATTTGTACGGAAAATTATGAAATTTGATGAAAACTAATATAATTTAATTTACCTTTAATTTTTCTCTGGTTTACTACTCCCTCTCTCTCTTTCTCTCTCTCTCTCTCTCTCTCTCTCTCTCTTTATTAACCCTTTGTGAACCGGAGAAAAAATCACCTTGGTTTGTGTCTTTGCTAATTAAATTTAAATTTATCTTGACGGACATCAAACATTTTCAGTTGATCATTTAGATCCCTAAATACTGACTTCAAATGAAACCACCTCACAAAAACTAATAGCACTAATAGAGAATGTTTGCTTAAGTTGAAGGGTTTAAAATCTTCATTATATGTTTAAGCCCAAAAAAATACTAGAATATGTAGAAGATACAACGTGCCAAGGAGCGCAGAAAATGATGTTACTCGTCATACGTAAATATTTTAGATACAAAATGGCTTTCATTTGAAAATAAGTAAAAACATAAAGTTCGGCCGGGCTGAACATTAAATACCCTTCATCATTAGCTAAAGAAAATATATTTATACCCTCCACCATACATAGTATGGAGAGTATATTAAGTTCGTCATTCCGTTTGTAATTCATCGAAATAATAGTTTTAGACCCAACAAAGAATATATGTATATTCTTGATCAGCGCAAGATTCTAAGACTATTCAGCCCTGTCCGTCCGTCTTTTGTAATCTCGCTAGTCAAAACGAATTAAGATAGGAAGATTAAATTTTGCACAGATCTGTCTGTCAGGCAGGTCAAGTTTGAAGATGGGCTATATCGATCCACGATATCTTATAGCCCCCAGTACCTCAAGATATTCGTTATTTTAATATTTTAGCCACATTTTCCAATGAAATTGTCTAGAATTCTACACAAGGAATTCTTTGTGAGCACTTAACCCCTTAAAAGAGAATTGTCTATATATAGATGCACGATATCGTATATCCCCCATATAACGGCACCTCCCATATTCGGTATTTTGATGATTTTAGCCACATTTTCAATGGAATTGTCTTAAAATCCACAAAAGGAGTTCTTGTGAGTACATTACCCCCTGAAGATGGGCTATATCGGTCCACGATATTTTATAGCCCCCAAATAACGATACCTTCCGATATTCGGTATTTTGATGATTTTTTCATGATTTTTCCGACATTACTAACCGAAATTGTTTCAAATTTCGCATATAAAGTACGAAACAGTTACAGTTATCACAAAAATTACTTATGCAGGACCACATCCTCGCATATCTACCATAAAACGGTTTTCATTTTTTTTTTTTTCAAGTTTCTTCCAAATGCTGGAGAGTATAAACAGTTCGGCCCGGCCTTAGATGGTTTTTAATTTTTAATATAAAAGGATTTGTACTCAAATGTGGCCACCTTAAACTACAAATACCAGTAAGATCGGTGGGGGAGCCGTTATGTGGGGGCCATACAAAACGGGAGTCTATATAGACAACTTTTTACTACAAGGATTTTTAACTATTGCGAGTCCTAAATACCGTTAAATGGAAGCCGTGGATAATTATGGACAGTGTTTTGACATTATGAAGTACAAATACCAAATCTATATCTATAAAAGAGGAAAATGTTTGTATGTTTGTTTGTTTGTAATTTATGGACTCGAAAACCGCTGATTAGATTTTCCTGAAAATTTCTATATATACTGCAACATCGCCTGAAAGTAACATAGGCTATATACATTTTAGAATTTCCACTTGGAACTGGAGATATAGCATCAGAATCGGAGGTACCTCCCAAAAATTTAGATTTTATATGCACATATCTATTGATTGGTTGAAGATACAGTCTCCAAATTTGGAATACGTAACGGAATTTGGAACAAAAATAAGTTTGCCAAATTATATTGTAATCGGTTCAGATTTGGATATAGCTCCCATATTTATTTTCGACCGATTTCATGTATTTGATGCACCAAACACGCTATGTATCTATAATTTCAATGAAATTTGGAATGTGTAGCGGAAATTAAAAAAAATATACATTTGTCAAATTATATTAAAATCGGTTCAGATTTGGATATAGTTCTCATATATATTTTCGACCGATTTCATGTATTTTATGCACCATATTATGCAATTTGTAATATGTAACGGGATTTTGATTAGAAAATAAATGAGTCAAATTATATTAAAATCGGTTCAGATTTGGATATAGCTGCCATATATATTTTCCGCCGATTTCACATATTTGATGCACAAAACACGATACGTATTTCCGATTCCAATGAAATTCGGTATGAGTGGTTAAATTTGGTACAAAAATAAATTTGACATATTATATTCAAATACGCTCAGATTTGATTATAGCTCCATATATATACTCAGCCGATTTCACATATTTGATGCACCCAAAGCGAGAGAGACAAAATCTGGCACCAGAAAAAAATTGCCAAATTATATTGAAATCAGTTGAGATGTGGATATAGCTAACATATATATTTCGGCCGATTTCATACATGTTATGCACCAAACATGATATATATGACCGATACCAATGAAACTCAGAATGTGTGGCGGAATTTGGTTACAATAATAAATGTGACAAATTAATTGGAAATTAGTTAAAATTTGGATATAGCTCTCATATATATATTATCGGCCGATTTTACATATTTGACGCACCAATTTCAATGAAATATGAAAGGTGTGGCGGAGTTTGGTGTAAAAGTAATTTTTTTAAAATTATATTTAAATCAGATCAGATTGGGATATGATTTTAATAAGAACCATTGACCAACAACGCCTTAGGCTAACACTAAAAAACAAGACAACAATTGATTTGAAATACGCTTATTACGGCGAAGTATGTTGCTATCTCGAATTCACTAATTGCAATAGAAATGCCACTCAACTTCAAAAGATTGCAGTTTACTACTGCACGCTTGGTATTTGCTATGAAATAAATAACTCCGAAGGACAAACCCTTCGTGTATGTATGTCATGTTACTGCTTTTCTAATGGTTTTGGTTATTTAGGCATTAAAGTAGTGCAATAATTTTTTTTTTTTAATATTTTAATATGTTTTTTTTTAACCAACATATATTCGTAAATAAAATCTTGAAAGCATATAAAATCAAAAGGGGTAGCGAAGCGCACCGGGTTCAGCTAGTTTTATATAAATCCTTTAGAAAATCCACGGATTTGTCTAAAAATTGATATTTGTTGTTCGCAATGGGTTCTAGATCTAGTGGTGAAACATTGTATATAATATTATCTAAAAAACTTAATATTTTTTTAAGTCTTTACCTTAATAAAACAATAATAAAAGGACGAAATTCAATAAAATTCGAAACTTTACTCTTGGCAAAATAATTCTAAAGAGGAATGGTTCATTTTCTTTTAAAAAATATAATCTATTCAATTAAAAATAAATGTTTTCAATGGTTTCAGAGATTCCTCATTCATGACTTCATTGTCTTGCCCACATAAATATAGCATTCGTTGATTTGAGTTTGGTTGCCCATCCACACACGCTTTGCACTTGCCCGGCCAAACGAAATGTAGTTGTTTACATTCACTATAGTTACTCGTTGCTTTGGTGAGGCTCTCCCATTAACAAATTATCTCTCACGCTCTCACTCTCCCTCTGACAACTCATTTTTATTTTTCTCTGATTCTCATCAGATTTTGACATTTCAAGTCAGCTGTTCTATTTTGTTTAGTTTTTGTTTTGTGTTGTTGCTACGAGTGATTTGTGTGAATTTTAATTTTGTTATTAAATTTGTGTTTTCTGTCTTTAAAGAAAAGTTAAAGTGAAAATTGAAAATGGAGGGACCAAAAGAGTTGTCTTTAAGTGAAATACGCAAATATATGCTAGATAATGGTTGTAAAGTTACCAACCATGCCCTTGTCAAGCATTTCAAACGTTTCCTAACACATCCGGACACCCAAAGTATGCGTCATGCGTAGAAGTGGGCATTTGTTGTTTTATTTTGTTTATCAAAACAATAGCAACAACGGCCCAATGTCGTCATATACTTGTTGCATTCAAATGTCTGTCTAGAAGAAATGCGTCTGATCCATTATATATTTCTTTTGTTTCCATTGATTTCCAGTTGAGGCCCGAAAGGAATTTAAAACCTATGTGAATATTTTGGCCACTATTAAGAATGAAAACAATCAAAAATATTTGATACTACGGAAGAAGTATCTGAATGAATGTCCCTCTGAGGATGTTGTGCAGCGAGCAATTTCTCAGGCAGGCGGTACAGATTCGGTACCCAGTAGCCCTGGTGGTTTGTCTGTAACCACTGATGAGGCCACGGCATCGCCATTTAGAAAACCTCCACCATACATACCACCACCAGAAGTGAATGCACCCATTGCAATGTATCAAGGTACTCCATTGGCGCCAATGGCACCAATACCTCCCAGCACCAACGATGATGAGGAACATACCAATGATGGAAATACTACAACATCTACTTTAGAGCGGGAAAATGAAATGGAAAACAAGGCTGTTGAAGATAAAAGTGTATCACGCTCCAATTCTGTCGATGAAACTGCCAATAAGGAAAATATTCCACGTTTTTCATTTTCTTCGGGCTCATCGGGAACCGATTCAACTGACGCCGGACCTGGTGCTACAGATAAATCGTCGGGTCCAGATGTTGAAACAGAAAACCCAATAAGCGTTAAGGAGGCAACAAGGAAATTCAATCGTATGGCTTCAGAGGAGGAGGCAAAAATTATTTCACCACCCTCCAAAAAGAAACCAGAAAAGGTGAGTGTTTTTTTGTAAACGGGAAAGGAATTTTGATGAAATAGACACGCTAGGCTTTGGTTTTCTTACCAAAATTTAATTATTTAAAAAAAAAATGACATTAGCATATAAATATAAAAATAGAAGTTTGTGCACGTTAAAGCTTCTTTTCGTGGAAAAAATTATTTGTAGAACTAAAACTTAAGGAAGAGGAATGGAAAAAGTCCCATTTTTATTTGATTGAATTTTTTGATGGAAATTAGAAAATATGAATGTGACCTAACTGATGAAGTATACAGGTAAGAATGCGTAAGTTCACATATCACGTATGTTCACATAACAGTATATTATGATGTTCTTAAATAACTAAGGTCGATGCAGCAAATTGCTTCAAGAATTGAGAAATTTCAGGTTTCATATCGGTGAACCTTGTAATTTAGTGGCAATTTTCGATTTTGAAATGACCAATTTAGATTTGAACAGGTTGTTAAAATGTAAAAAAAAAAAGAAAAAACAAAAGCGAGGAATTGTAATACAGGATTATATTGAGAATGTAATGTGGACAAAATTACTCCAACTTTGGTCGTTATTCAATGTGTGTTATTTCCATACAGTGCTTTAAACTTTAAATTTGAAAAAAACAGCTATATGAGAGCTATAAATTAATCTGAACCGATTTCCACTTAATTTGACGAATTAATTGACTTCTTCTACCAAATACCATTCTTCTATCAAATACCATTGGTTTCAAAAATGGGTGATTTGATTCATCCTGATCGTATCATACGGAATTTAACCTCGTTTGACAATTGCATCCTGAAGAGAAATGTACATTGAAACTATAGCTAAATCTAAACGGATTTCGGCAAAATTTGATGTTAAATTTGTCATTGTTAAGGATATGCATATTGCGGCTTTGGTGACATTAATATCCAATCGAATAAAACATATAAATAGGAGCGATTTCTGTACGGAAAGCACAAAATGTTACTAAATTTGGAATCGGGTGACGGGAGGGTTGGAATCCTCAGGCTTAATATTGAGGTCTCTGTTGGTATTTGGAATTGAGATATGTAGGTGAATTTGGAAATGTGAACTATAATTGAACGAAAAGTACTAAATGTTACTAAATTTGGTATTGAGTGAATAGATAGAGCTGAAATTCTGAAGTTTGATATTGACGTCTCTGTTGGTCTCGTACTCTAATTGTTCGAAAATTACTAAATGGTAAAATTTTGGTCTGAAATTTGATATTTTTAATTCGTATTAGAGTTGTTGTTCATGTGTAGGCTGGACATATTGAGGTGGTTTCGGAAATGTGTACTATAATTGTACGAAAAGTACTGAATGGTACTATATTTTTGGCATTAGATGAAGGAATAGAGATAAAATTCTGATATTTGATTACTTATTGTATCTTGGGTTTGAGATTTGTCGGTGTTTTGGAAATGCGTCCTATATTTGTACGAAAAGTACTAAATGATACCAAATTTGGTATCGGATGCAAGGGAAAGAACTGGAATCCTCAAATTTGATATTGAGGTCTCTGTTTGTATCTGGAATTGAGATATGAAGGTGGTTTTGGAAATGTGTATTATAATTGTACGAAAAATACTAAATGTTACTACATTTGGTGTTAAGTGAAAGTATAAAGATAGAATCCCGAACATTGATATTGAGGTTTCTGTTGGTATCCGATGTTGAGATATGCTGGTGGTTTTGCAAATGCGTGCTTCAATTGTGCGAAAAGTACTAAATGGTACAACTTGGATCTATAATTTGGCGTTGAGGTCACTGTTGGTTTCTTGGGTCCACATATGGAGACCTTGAAATAGTTTTCCGACTGTGGAAATCACTCTAGCTTTCAAACGAAATGAAGAAGGTCTTCAGGACCTCTGGTATTGAAAATGGATTATGTAGGTCCACGTTTTGGTATAGCCCCATATAATGGTACCTCCCTATTTCCGATTTGATGATTTTAGCGACATTATTCACCGGAATTGTTTCAAATTTTATATTTGAAGTTCGTGATGGATACTACAGTCTATGACAGAAAATTGTCTGTGCAGGTCCGCGTCTTCGTATAGCCCTCATATAACGGTACCTCCCAATATTCGTTATTTTGCTGATTTTAGCGATATTATTCACCGGAATTGTTTCAAATTTTATATTTGAAGTTCGTGATGGATACTACAGTCTATGACAGAAAATTTTATGTGTAGGTCCACGTTTTTTGTATAGTCCACATATAACGGTACCTCTCGATATTCGGTATTTTGATGATTTCAGCAACATTATTCACCGGAATCGTTTCACATTTCGTATTGGAAGATCTTAATGGGTACTACAGCCTATGCCCTAGCCCATATAACGGTATTTCCCGATATTCGTATTTTTTATGATTTTAGCGACATTATTTACCGGAATTATTTCAAGTTTCGTATTTGAAGTTCGTAATGGGTACTACAGCCTATGACAAAAATGTTTGTATGCAGGTCCACGTTTTCGTACATCCCCCACCTGATATTCGATATATTAATGATCTTAGCGACATTATTCACTGGAACTGTTTTAAATTTCGTAATGGGCACTACAGCCTATAACAAACAATTTCGTAAGCAGGTCCACGTCATTGTATAGTCCACATATAACGGTTTTCATTTAAGTGGTAGTTTTCAGATTTCTTTTTTTTTTTTTTTTTTTTTTGAAATTATTCAAGATCCCTCCAAATGGTGGAGGGTATTAATAGTTCGGCTCGGCCGAACTTAGCTGCTTTATTACTTGGTTTGCTTAGTCTTACCCTTTTTTCCTTTTCTATTGCCTTTTTACCGCCCATCCTTCAAACCGAATTGAATACACTTTGAAATTATGCTGGTTTATGCTTAAATGCATCGTATTTTTATAAGAATATTTTGACCACACATACATATTAATATATAAGTTTATGTTGTTCACGTGTACATATAGATCTGCATTTTTTTTAGCTGATTTTTCTAAGTTCATGTAAACTGTCACAAGATGTCACGTAACAATTTAAAGTTGTTTAGCTATTATTGCCACACATTTTCTTCATTTCTCAAATAAGCAATCCTCTAAACTGAGGGTATTATGGAGATGGCAACTGGTGGATCATAGTCTGGCGACTAACACGTCTTTAAGAAGAAGACGGAGACGACGACCAGCAGTTTTCCTTGTTAGTTTTGGGATGGTATTGTCATCGGTATATTGTTGTGACACAATGCAATTTTTTTGGGGGAATGGGTAGCCAACCATTGAGAGATAAAAATAACAACGTGTTAGTATTAAATAAATCCATTTATTTTATTAGCAGACAATAAAATAAACAGTCCAGAACTTTATGTTTCCAAGATTTTGGAGAATAATAAATTTTTCCCAGTGAAATACAACTACCGGCATTATAGTGTGTGTGTAGTTGTTGTTTATCATTATTTTAGATACATGTTAGGGAAGAAGTTTTAGATATTCCAAAGAAGTTTCTCAATTTTCATAGGAATGGGTATTGGATTATATAGCGTTCTCATATGTATTTTGTATATTTGCTACTTTATATTGTTACTCTGATATTACAACCACCCTGAAATTTTTCTTACATCTTTAAATTATGGTCCGAGACCATTTATTTTTGTAGTCCCCTGTTGACATCCCTAAGGCGCACATACTAACTGTGTATAATGTAATGAACAAATCGTACATATGTAGCTCAACACCAAATACATATGTACACTCATTGGCAATTCTAATTTACAAGTGCATTTTCTATGTTTCGGCTGCATGTCTCAATGTATGTAGTCAGTAATGGATGGTTTTTATGGCAAACGTACTAATTTTCTTTTCAAACTTCCGACCAGTAACATGACATTGTGGACTAGAGAGGGTGTGTTTTCTTCGGTTGCCGGGTAAGGTGGTGGATTTTCTTGAAGACATTCGTCGATGATGCACACAAGACAAACGTCATCGTCATCGTGTAGATAAATTCATAGACCATAAAATATTTACATGTTGTTAATGTTAATGCTGATGTTGCCGTAGTTGTTCTCGTTCTTGATGTTGTCGTTGTCGTTATAGTTGCTTTTGTTGTTACTGCTGCTAATGGTGTTGTTCTATTGCTTCCAATGGATGTATATGACGAGGATGCTTGGTTGAATAGCTGTTGTTGGTTTATTTTGCTAGGATGTTGTTTTTGTTATTTGTCCGTTTGCCTATTTCCAGCTTTAATTCATGCTCCCGTCACAGTCTTTGATGCCGTTGTTCATGGTGTTGTTGTCAGTGTTGTTTAATGCATTGTTTGAAATGTTACTGTATTTGTTATTAACTTAAAAATGTATCTAATTAGTTTCGTTTGTTTGTTTTATGGAGTTTTTGCGCTAAATATATTTGAAAAAGGTCCCTTTTGCAAGTTTTTGAAGGGGATGGATGCATTTTGAAATGAATCCAATTCAATTGATTTTAAAATACCAATAATCTATGACCCAATCCTAATCCTGTATAGACATGTTACTAACAAGCACACTCTTGAAAATGTTTAAAAGGGTTGCCCAAACTACAACGTCGAAAAAGTCGACTTTTATTAATTATTATTCTTCATACCGTATAACGGTACACCTCATATTCGCTAGTATAATAATTTAATTGACACTTTAAAAATCAAATTAAAAAATAAAAAAATGTCACAAAATACCTCAAAATATATATTAACATCATTATTGGTATCTTTTATGCGAATTTTTTATATTTTATTCTTTTAGGCCAGGAGGTCATTCTGAATTGACAACATTTGTCAAAATCTGTCCAGTCATTCTTGAGATAAAAGCATTCTAGAGAACATCCCCTTTTGTATATTTTTCGCTATATAAATATCCGATATATTTACTATCGGCATCTACGTAACGGTCAGAATTGACCTCTTCAACTATTTGTGATTTCGCCGGGATTAAAAATATTCACGGTTCAATGGAAAATTTGACTTTTATTTTTTTCACCCACTAAATATTACCCGATG